CATTCTCCAACCTATGCATTTTACGTACCCCATACAGCTACTTCTTGAAATTTTCGTTCTGAACTTTTGGAAATGCTTCAAACAGTTGGTCAGAATAAACAAAATGCTACATATAGCATTTTGTAAAAAAATTTATATATTAGGTTGTCCCGAAAGTTTTGTCGCTTTTTTCAGATCACTGTAAAACCACGCACAATAAAGACCTGAGTGAGTTTTAACATCCATTCGATGCAGCTTTTCCTTCTCTTTCTTATGGATGCACATTTATACCATAATGTTATATTCTTTCTTTGGTAATTGCCGAGATTCTCCACCTGTCAATTGTACCTGCTCAAAGTTGAGCTAATTTTTAAAAATTTCTTTACAAAGTTTCGAAAAAGATCAAGTATGGATCAAATAGAGCAACTCTCGGGCTACAAGATGTTGTTTTTAGATTCTCTAATTTGCTGATTTTGACTTCAAAAAATTATTTCTTCTGAGGTCTCGATTTTTAGCTAAGTCATGAAACGCGCAATTGCAGCAAAAGCATGAAAGCTTTTGAAGTTTTCGCGAATTCAAAATTGATTGTTATTAAACATCATTTATGCAACATAACCAAGTTTGATTTGCTTCAAAAATCAGCTTTTTGGAATTTTCGGTAATTTTACGTGGTAAAACGTGTTCAAAAAGCCGCGGTTTTTTCCAAATAAATAATTATTACGGACTTGATAAACGTGGCCCACGTAATCTAAAATAGCCACAATGTAGCCAAAGGTTTGCCCTACATAATAGTCACCAGCGCTTGTCGAAAATATCAGGATAAAAATTTTGAAAATTCAGGAAAGTTTTGGCGTTACTGCTGAGGTGCTCAAAAAGCCATGGCGATAACATCGCAAAGACGGGGTAGATCAGGGAACAAATATATCCATAAGAAAGAGGATAAAAATGTGAATAGAATGACACCTAGGCCATTCATGAAATGGTGTTCTGTGAGATTTGGTGAGCGATGAAAAAAACCGACAAAACTTTCGGGACAGCCTAATATGTCTACATAACCCAACTTGACATCGATAGCTGGTTTTGCAGCAATTTCAAAAAACAAGATTTGTCTTCACATTTGCGAAGTCGTGAAATATATAATACATTCGTTTTAAACATTATGAAATCTTCGCAAATTCGAACTTCCAAAAATCGATAATGATTGAAAAAAATGATTGAATACTAATTTTGAAAGACAGAGTTTTTAACGTCCCGAAAGATTGATTTTTGATACTTTCGAGTGCAGCCTAGGACGCATCACAAAACTAGAATTATTGCAACTTTTTTCTCGAGCTTATACGAGTCAGAAAGGAAAAAACATCAGTTAAGAAGAGGACACCCTAGCTGCTTCCCGTCTGATGTTTTAGGAGGATTAAGATGCCCAAATATGGTGATAGCATCGGAAAAAATATTTTCAAAAATTTTGAAAAGCCGGCTATCAATACCAGAAAAATTTCATTACATTGCATTTTGTTTACTCTATCTACTTTTATCAAAGTATTTTTGAAAGTCCAGAACAAAAGTTCTAAAAATTGCAGGATTCAGGGACAATTAAAATAATTTGTAAAAATTCAAATTGACCTTGCACGCCCCCTTTTTCTGAAATTTTGTGGTCGGGGGCCCGCGAAATTTTGGGAGCCACGCACCTTCATCCGGAAAAATTTTTCTTCGCCCCTCCCCCCGAACGGAAATCCTGGGTGCGCCACTGGTAAAAACCGTGAAATGAAGATTCTGACGATTTTCTAAGCAGCATCGAGGGAATCCGGACAGAAACGCAACTGCTGGAAATAGGGAGTTGTTGAATAGAACACCTGTAAGACTGTTTGTCTATTTTTATTTTGAACGATTTGAGGACAAGTCTAAAAAACGGCAAGAACTTTCGGACTCACCTAAATGATGTTACACTTGCATCTTACCGGGGAATGATCTCAAATCGCAATGGCGATTTGGAACGAAATGTATATCATAGGACGCGTCTAAGCTGAATAAATCTGATGCCATGACTGCTGCGAGATTTTATGGAAAAAAATTGTGAGCGTTATGTCCAAATATGGCAAACGTATTATATATTGGCACCATTCCAAGAAAAAAATTGCTTGAGCACTTATTTTTCTTCTTGTTTGGTGTGTGCATTCTTTACACACAATCAACACCTTAGCATACATTGTCAGATTGAATTTCGATACAAACTATGCACTCGAACTCCAACAACTTGTCACCTTCAACGCTCATTCCCGCGGTGCAAAAAGCAAATTTGGAATCAGCTTCTTAAGACACATGTAATAACATGCATTTCAGTCTGCCACTGTGTTTGGAAATCTTACCCTTACTGAGAGCGCAAGTAAATATCATGTTTATCAGAAACATGCAAAATTTCAGCTCAGGTAATGTTGTGATAATCAATAAGTAACGTTTGCACCTATACTAAACACATAAATGAGTTGACTCTCGTCTTCAACTGCGCATATGTAAAGGAAGATTGCATATTGCTTTGCTCAGAGGACCTAACATTTTATTCGAAGGAAGACACAATGCATTGCAGTGAGCCCACTTTTACTCGAAGAAAAACTGGATACATTTTCAGAAGAAAGGAATCCAAGTTTTTCATTAATAGGAAAGGTTCTCGAATACATTGTGAATTCATTCGACTTCGCTGTACCGTCATTTTCTTAATTTATTTATTTCAAGTTTATCTCTTCTTCTTTTCCTAACCTCACACCTTTTTTGATCCTTCGTTATTCAAAGCTTGTTTGAAACAATGGATGCAGAGAAAAGCAACTAACATTATTTTCCCTTGCCAGGACTGCATGTCCCCAGAACTTTTTCAATTGCAGGATTGTTTCTTACAACCTGGACCTGGTGCTTTCCATTTGAATGATTTAAATGTTCTACTTTACGTATATTTGAAGTTAATGTTGGTTTTCGCATGCATTATGTTGTACGTATGTATGCCTTTTTAACTGATGTGAATTTCTTCGTATGTAAGTAGTTTAGTGTTAGTGCGAAAGAATAAGAGATAAATTCTACCATTGATCGTTGGCACATTTTGTATTATGTTTTGTCTGCTTGAGCATTCCGAGAGCTTTATCAACCCGTATTTTTAGCGTATTTCATGTCGTGTTCTTAAATTTCACAAAAATTGGAGTAAGAATGAAGACAGGCTTCAGGCAGTTACTGCAGAAATTCATCCTCTCTTCGGCAGCTACGCAATACGACTCCTCCGACGGGAGCTAAGATAATTGTCGAGCTTATAACAATTCATTTTGACCATGCCTAAGTTTCGCCGCTTTTCTGAACTTTCATTTGAGGTGCCTTGATGGTCTGTTGATAGTGCAAGCCTTCTGCAAATCAATGAAACTTTTTTGTATTTTTCTGGCTACTGAAATAGATTTCTTAAAGTGACCAAATTTTATATTAGGTTGGTTCATAATCAATGCATGTTTTTCCTACCTCTTCTTCCAAACGCTAGTTTTCCATCAAAAATCGTTTTTCTCTAAAACCATCTAAACTGTCGGAAAGCGCGTTTCTTCTGTTTTGTGATTTACATTTTTGTTTTTGGAGATCTTTGTTCAGACAGAAGTTCCGTGCCTTCAAAAGTAAGAAACTCAAACTTGATATTTTTTCCTTTTATTTGACTTGCCCTAAATCCAGGAAAAATGTTCAAATTTGTTTCAAAAAATGTATGTTATAATCGGGAAAACTTGTGCTACAAAATGCTCACCAGGGCTGAATTTTTTGAAAATCCTAAGACGAGAAGCTTTGACTCAAGCTTAGCTGAATGCTGGAATCACTCGGAGTTTTATAAAATGCTTAGTGGGAGGCCATAACAGAACTTTCACTTGGTTCTGGTAGAGTAGACCAAGTACTACTAATGGTATGAAAAAGGCAGAATCTCCTTGTTTTTCAAATGAGAAAAAATTGAAAGGAATCTAAAAAATACAGTTTTTTGCCTTTTCTAAAATGCAGGAGGAAAAGATACTTTTGCTTTCTTGGCAATCTTTCTTCGTAGAAAATTTTTGGTGAAGTCCAAGTTTCACACTACTAGTGAATCGAACATCGGCTACACAATGAGCAAAGTTTGCTCTGTTCTAGCCCTTTTGAGAGAAAGTTATGCTCTTTCAAAAGGAGCTATTATCTTCATTAGAAGTGGAAGTTGAGAAAACGTGCATTAATTATGAACCAACCTAATATTTGGCCTGTTTAAACCTCGTAAAACATCAAACGGTAAACAGTTCAGATACTATGCGACGCATTTTTCTCTTCTCTTTTTAACAATTATGTTTCTTGACAAAAGATGCCAAAATTGCTTTGGTTTTTGAACTTCCGGTGCTCACTAGTGCACCCGAAATTTCAAAACCTGGGTATTTTTGAGCAATAATCGCTTTTTACTTTATAAAGTTAGTAATAGTAATAATCGAATTCTGAAACTTTCAATATTCTGAAAATTTTGCAGGGTTTGGTGCAATTATGTTTTATGCAATTTTTTTCAAACCCAGAACTGTTGTGAAATATATCAGCAAAATCCTGGATGAGAAACTAGAAAAAATGAGGAAATTGCTTTAATTTGCAGAGATTCGGCCTTCAGCAGGCTATCACAGCACCTTTAGAAGTCTAGTGTAAAACTACCGAAAATTAGCGAAAGTTGGGGATGGTAGAAACGAAGGGTCGTAATCTTCGGCAATCGTCTCAGCGCTTGTCGTAATAGTCGAATTAAACACAGCTACAGTAAAGAGGAAGAAATTCTGCATCGAATACTGCCTTAATTATCTGTCTATGCTTACTCTAAGAGATTTTAGGGTCTGGAAAACAGAAAGAGTTCTATCTATGAGCAATTGCTTCATGTAGTAAAGTCTCCAAGCCTGTCGATGTGCAAAATTAGGTTTACATATTCTTCATCCCCTATCTTGCTCCCTGTCGCAAGCGCTCCGGCGTGCTCACAAGCTGCCAACGACCTTTTGCGTTTTGCGGGGTTTATTTTTCGGATGAGTGGAAACTTGGTCCTGTGTCTAGGATTGACAACCAGAGTCAACGTGTGCTGCGACAATGTCGCAATGGATTCGGGAAGCCCTGGTGGGGGCGGGGGTGGCAAGAGGGGAGAGTATGGATGCAAAAAGCTCAGAAGAAACTTGTAAAGATACAAAGTACAACAGATAAAGACTGACTATGACTTTGACAAGCCATCAGTCAGTCTGTATCTCAATCCACGAAAAAAATGATATCAGAAGCTCAACCATCATTGAGGCATTTATGTGTAATAAAGATGTCAAATGTAACAATTGGCCTAGAATTCCTGCTTCCAAAGCTTCGCTGAATTCTCACTCACTCGACAAAAGCGCATATCTCTACCAACCTATGACCATCAACGAACTGTTAAATTTTTATAGAAGTTTTTTATACGGTCCATACAACTAAGCTGTATTAATTAAGCAATCCGATGCAAATACAACATAAAATAGATAAGTGATTGATGGCTTCGACAAGCCAACAGTCAATCTGTATCTGTCAATCTGAAAATATACATTTCCGGAAGTCCAAAAACATTATTAAAGGCATGCATTTGTGATAAAGATGTTTATGTACCGGTTGGCCTAGAAGTCCCGCTCCTGAAGTTTCACTGAAGTTTCATCTTCGCGACAGAGCGAGCATTCCTGCCAGCAATGACCATCAATAATTTGTGAATCCTCTTGTTATGTTTTTTTATGCAATCCATACAATTTAGCCCTACTCTAGAAAGGCCCTACTATATTTTTGAGTCTTATTGTATAGCCTATAAATTCTGTTATGATTTTATGTATTGCAACAAAAAATGAGAAGGGGGGGGAGGGAGGTCGTATCTAAGCCGCATCTAAATTGCTTCGGAGCTATGGATGCTTGGTTGCTACAATTTGCTCTACTACGGCACCGTCCTCGTATTTTCTAACCTAAGATGTTCGAGCTGTATAGTTGCATCCACAGTGAGTTACAAAGTTTCATGCTCAAAAATCCCTTTTTAATGTCGCATTCAAAATTCCTAGAGTCACATCTAATAAAGGAATGGTCAGAAGTAAAAGTGACCAATCAAAAACAAGCGCAACAATTTGATGCACCATAGAATGCTGATTTCAATTCTGTCTTCCGTATCTGCTAAACGTCCCTTGTAAGCGAATTCATGATCATTTTTGCTTCGAAAGAATCTTCATAAAAACTGCGAAAGCAAGCTTATTATTGCCAATTCAGTTAGGTAAGGCCATTTGAAGTAGCCTATCTGAATGTTTTGGTTTAGCATTAAGCCGAATATGGTTGTACGTCCAAATTTGTCCTACAATTTCTTAGCAAAATATTGGCCTAATGGCTTACAACTTCATTCACAAAAGTGTTGAGCAGACAAGGAAGATAGGGATACAAACCGGAACATAATTTACCCCAAAAAAGCAATTTTTCAAATTATCTACTTTTTTCATTTTTGAAACTCATGCAATCATTAGGAAGTGCTCCACAACTTTCAAATAGTAGTAAAGTTTTCGAGAAAATTGAAGTATTGCATTGAATTTCGAATAGCTGTCTCATGTTTGCATCGCCGCGATCAAGAGGCAATATAGCTTCGTGCTGTCGGAATAAAAGGAAGATTCACTTTGTTCATTTTATATTAAATCGTTTATGAGTTCGTAAAGTTTCTATAAACCAAAGAAATGACAAAATTTCAACGAAAATCAGTTGTGCAAACCTCCCGATTAAGTCTTTGACAGCTAGGGCGACAGTTGCCGTAGGGAGCCAAGTTTTGTTGCGAAGAAAAGCTTATTAAACTTGTTTGTTAAGCGTTTTCTGCAGTAGGTGCTTGTTTAGACGGCGCAGTTAGGCTGCGTACGGTATGGGCAACCGCCTTGTTCTTACTTAGTAATGTTTAACGCAACACTTCCTCCCCATCCAGCAAAAAGTCTTGTTCAGGGGGCACTCTGCAAACTTTATGTTTTTCATCAGTCCAATTCTTTTTATTTTATATTGACGAGAAAATGCTATCTTTCACAATCAGCAAAAAGGTCTGCGCACTTTATTAGAAAAGTAAGTAAGACAAAAATGAGCAAGTGCCGAAAATGCTTGTCTGTCTTTTAAAAATTCCTTCTTTGGAAGCTGAAGAATCGAGGCAAATTAGCTTTTCATCGGGGAGAATTAGTTTGTTTTAAAGAGCATGATCAGCTCTTCTCAATGATATACGAATATTGCCGCAAGTCAGCCGCTTCTCAAAGATATGGAAACGAGAATGAAGACTTCACGAACTTGCGCCCTAGTATTAGGTTGTTGCATAAGTTCTGTCCGATTTTTTTTGCCTCATGTTTGAAGCAGCTGTTCTAAGAAAATTTCATCTCTAATGCGGTATTGTTAGTAACATTAGAAAGTGCTTTTCTCGCGCTCCAAAAGTATTTTACATGCTATACTTTCTGCGAATAGAAGTGATCGACGATTTCAAAGTTGGAGGTGCTAGGATAAAGAAAGAGCTAGCAGGGCTCATCCACCAATTCCTTTTCGGCGCTCACGTCAACTGTAAAATTTCGTAACTCATAAATAGGCATGCACACATGCGCTGAAGCGAGGCTAAAAAGTGGCTAATTTTCTGTTCGGTTTAAAAAATCTCTCTGCAACGCAGACCCTGTGGGCTCTTTCATGTTGCAAAATAATCTACGAAAATTTCTATATCTGTCCATTGTTAGAAAAGATGCCTACCGACTCTCATAAGGGAGCACTGCCATGTCAAAAAAGACAAGTTTGAAGGAAAACGCAGTAAAATTTATGCTTTTGCTTTTTCCTTAACGAGGATTTTCGCAGGTTCCAATAGGTATCTGATAGCCAAGGAGTTGCTCAACACATGGAAACTAAGATTTTGGAAAAAAGTTGACTTTGAAAGAAGTTATGACATTTTGAACTCAAACAATTCAAATCGGACAGAACTTATGCAACAGCCAATACATTGTCAACTGTTCATTGTTAATCAAAGAAAACATGAAAACTGCAAAAAACAAAACTGCCCAATACTTTTAGTCTACCCTGATACATTCCTCTAGAAGCTTTCCCAACCGGCACATCTATGTGCTAGCCCAGCTTGCAGAGCAATGATAAATTAAATCGTATCCACCAGACGCATAAAATAGTCAGCTCCATAACTTAGTCTTTTCAGCGTCATCTCAATCTGCTTTTGGTATGAGATTATCAGTCTCAAATCGACTTACAAGGAAAGACTCGCTGATCGTGGCCATCTGAAATAAGATGTAAATCACAAAATGCTTCTAGAAACACTGATTTCAGAACTGCTTGTGTTTTTGAAGAAAGTTACCACGTTTTTCCTAAGAAAGTTGTGTAGTTTTGGATAATTGAAATCAACAACATCAATCTGGCTCGGTGCCTGTTGCTTCTGACGAAGATCATCAGCCAAGTACTATTGTATTTCAACAACTGATGCGACTTGGCAGTCGAAAAGAGAGAAAAACTCGCATTTGTAATTTTAGTGGCACAATAGTGTAATTTATCTAAAACAAACAAACAAAATAAATTATTGCGATACCGGCCTCAGCACAAATTGTTTTTTTTTGATGAAAAACATTTTTTGAATCAGCATTTGGAGTATTTGGCAATATACACCTACATTGAGTGGCCACGATCACCAAGTATCCTTTTTCTTATAAAAAAAGCTACTGTTATCTCGGCCTTTTGGCAAGCGACATATATAGTCTGAATCAGCTTCAAACGCCGATTCCAAATATACTATTCCTAGCTGTCGCGCACCTTTCCGAAGCGAGTTATGGGCTTTTTCCTGCGCAAAATTGGCATACTACTGAACATGGGAAAGACTGCCTGTAGATAAAAACCAGCAAGGAAAAAGATGCTGAGATATCAAATACGTCAAACCCAATCTTCTCTCACTGAAAAGAAGGTCAACGCAAGGGTATCAGCACTAAGACGATGATGCCGTGATGCCAGAGAGTCGATGAGCATGCCAATTTTACGCAGAAAAAAGCCCATAACTCGCTCCGAAATGGTGCGCGGCAGCTAGAAAAAGCATTTTTGGGATCAGCGTTTGAAGCTCATTCAGAATATATATGTATCTTGTCAAAATTCCGAGCTAAGTTAGGTAGCTTCCCTTGTTATATCGGTAAACGTTATAGAAACGAGTATCCAAGACGTGCTCAATGAGAATTCTGCTTATTGCGTTAATTCCACTGGCGGAAACGGTCCTAAATCCGAACAGCAGTCAGCTAATACCTAGGTTTGTTTTATAAAAAACGCATTGGAAAATGTTGAACTTACAGCTGGTTACAGAAGTCCGGAGCAATCTGCTATCCTCCCTCGTCTCAAGCGTTCTAATGCAGGTTAGCAAAAATTTCGTTGTTGTGTACGATTTGAAACAACTCTACAAGTTGAGCGTTCCAACTGACAAAGCTATCAGCATCTGCAGACACAAGAGAACTTATTATAGGCGTTCTCAAAAACTTCTGTCATCTTAATTAGGTGAAGTTCACTTATGATTCCTTCACAAAAATCTCGCTTGAAAGATGAAGCACATATTATCTATGCTGTGACTAGGAGACGCGTAACCGCATTGCGGACACTGTCTTAACATGTTTGAGTTTGTTCTTCGCTGTTTCCAACGGGTGAATAAACCTAAACGAAATAAATGACAAGCATAAACCTGCTAATTACACGCTTAAGCTTGTTTAGACAACGTCTGCAGTGCGGTCTCGCGTCTCCTAGTCCTATAATGAATGATATATGATCAGGGCCCGGCACAAAGTGGGCAGATGTCAAGCATCAAATCGTTTTGAACATGTTGCTACACGACTGACATGCAAAGACACTCGCTTGCGCGTCATCTTCAAAATCCGACTTTTCATTGCGTTGTAATTAAAGTCTCATTTACAGCTCACACATATTGATATAACTAAAACTTTGGGTTTAAACGTATATGGACTAGGAGGAGCATAGTGCAGGGTAGCGTGGAAAGCCACGTGACAGGTTGTGGCGAGCTTTTTTCTGAAGATTTCCCACTATTACAAAACAATTAAATGGCTCGTTTGCAACGCACAAATGATAATATAGCATAGAATTTGGTGTGTGTACGCGCAGTTGGACTGAGGAACAAAGTATGAAAAAATTATGAAAAACTTGTATGAATAAAGAAAATAAAGAATATGGATGCGGAGCATGGTTACCACCACGCACCTTTATTTTTAAAAAATTTTTGTTGCACCCTCAGACGGAACTTTTCAGACCGGCATGATGTATATTAGGTGGGTGTGATAGTTCTTTCACATATTTTCTAAAAAATCGTGACTTTTGCTATTTGCTTGGATTTGCCGGGGGTAATTTTTCAGAATGACGAGGTCATGTAGTCTTTAACCTTAGCTCAAATGCGTTTTACTAACAGGAAAAGTCCGATTAGTCGAAGAGGTCTCCCCAAACCATCTTACCCACTTCGAGGATCATTAAGCGCTGATTCAAAATCTGCTTTCATAGCTTCCAAGTGCCTCTGCATGCCGAGTTATTGATGTTTATTGTGAAAAAATGAACGCACAATTGAGGCTAATGATGTTACGATCTTATCGCGCTCAAGAAGAGCAGTGATGAGTACGAGGATTTTGGACAGAATGTAATTTTGGATAGAGTGCTCTGATAGTCAATATTGGACCATATGAGCAATGACGAATTTCGTTCAACGCATTCGATTTTTCCACTTTTTCCACTCAAAAAAGCTGGTAACTCGGCGTTCAGAGGCGCTCGGCAGGTAACGAAGATAGATGGAAAGTGAGCGATGCTCTTCAAAGTCGTACCAGTCTCATGTGAAAAACCCACTTCGATCAGACGGACCTCCCTTCTAAACACAAGACGCAGAGTTGAAGGTGCAAAAAGAGAATAACTCAAATTTTGGTAATTTTAAGAAAGCTCACCAAAAATCCAAAAACACTGCAAAAACTGCAGAAATATGAACATACATTCTATGATTTCCTCCTTCTAGCCAAGCAAAATTGTGCTGAACGAATATCCTTGTGGCAAGTCATGATTTCCTATGAAAATGCTCTGCGTTTTTGACAAAAATCAGCCTGCTTTCTATCGGCTCAAATTTTGTTCAACCAAAAGAGGAGGTCACAAAACACATGTTCGTTATGCCATATGTTCTACCAGTGACCGTTTCGGTTTATGCTGTAACGCTTTCCAATTTGTTTGAGCTTGCTTAAAAAAGCTAACAAGGAAACGATACTCGGTGTCCGTGGCCTTTTGAGATGAAATGCATACTATTATATTGTCTCGGAACGCTGATTCCGAATCCGGCTTCCGTTTTTGCTATGCATTTCTCTGAAAAAGTTATGAATAATTTTCGCGCCGAGTTTGGTCGCCTAAGGGAAATACAATCGATAGCCAACATCCACGGTATGGTGTAGTGGTTAGTACGATAGCCTCCCAGGTTGATACAGGGTGGGCTCCTATCCTTTTGTGTTTTTCGGTTTTGCATTCCTTCAGTTAGGTTTCTTTTCGTAAGTGGGACCTCCGCGAGGTAATTGCATGCTCTTACTCTTTCAAAATTTAACGAGGAGTCATTTTCATATGAGTGTTTCCTATATTTATTCTAAAAGGTGCTTACAGATATGAACCACCACACCACAGCGTTTCCGGTGTTGACGTCCTGATCGCATTTCTCTAGCACGGCGAAACTAGGCGCGAAAACTATTCATAACTTCTTTCAGAGAAACGATTAGCAGAAACGGAGGTCAGATTCGGAAAGCGTTTCAAGATAAGTGTGATGGTAAACATCCCATATCAAAAAACCACGAACACCGAGTATCGCTTCCTTGTAAGCTTGATTAAATCTCTTCATTTGCATCTAACTCTTGAACTACCTTATAGTAACTCATGACAAAGGTGCCACTGTAGTGTGCAGGACTTTCTCGTTCAAAAAAAATACTTCCAGAATTTTTCATGATCTTGCGTGAAAAACGCAAACCATGAGTAATTTCTCTCAATTGCCTCCTTGATCTTTCTCATAAAATTATGACGGATGTACTGCCGTAAAAGCCATGGCTTCAAAAGGAAAAAAAGAAAGTTAAAAGAAATTTTGTTGGAAGGAAGGAAGTTAGTTATGATTTTTTGAATGACAGGCAAATGAAACTTTTGCATCCACCTAGTAAATGAACAGGATGTTCCAACAACCTGTTTGTCGAACAACTCTCTTGCTTTATTGTCTTTTGCAGATCTGCAAATCTGAAAATTAGTGTAGTTGAGTTCTTAAGCAGCGATGGTTTCATTACACTCTTTTTACAATTCTGAGACTTTGTAATGGCTCAAACACATTGATGACAAATACTGAAAACGCAGTTGTGATTACCGGGTGGATTAACTTACGGAAGCAGCACGTCTTTGGTTCGTTCATATCTAGAATCAAGATTGGTGTTAACCGTACAAAGGTTTTGGCTTATCTAGTTTTTTTTGTGAGGCAATATGCGTCTCTTAATGTCTCTTAATCCGCACTTTTGGATTTCACGTTGTGCATCCATCCCTGACGGTCGACCGTCTTTTCTTCAGAATTATTATAGTTTCTTCAAAGTTATCGAACACATTCCAAAGTTGTATGTTCATCTAGCCCAACAGTGCTAAGCATGCTGCTGATAAGAACAAAGGATGTATTAGAGTCATAAAATTTGAAATTTGCGATGGACCACAAATCGAAAGGTGGGGTTATTGGAAATTTCGATTTTTCAAAATTCATCTTTTCTTATCAGCAACATGTTTAGCACTGCTGTGTTAGATGTTCAGTACAACTTTGGAAGATTTTCGTTGACTTTGAAGAAAAGACGGTCGGAAATCATTAGGGGGATCATACAAAATGAGGCTGGAAAAGGCGGCTTGTAAAGATTTTCGCTTTTGTTCAGTATGTTCATCTGCGACCCCCTCCCCAGCGGGGATTGTTAATGCATCAGCCCTGAGACTACAAAAGCAGACTTTACCGGCAAAGGGATAGAACAGATGACTAGCACCGTGGAATGCTACCGCCCTAATGCAGGGTAATCTTCAAGACGTTTAAGATTGGTGCTCGAGATATTCAACATAACCAAACAATCTAACCTCAAATACACCTGTAGATCATCATGGCAAATCAGAAATTCAAGAACAGTAATGTCTTATAATCAAGTGAGCTGACTCAGACAATCGACGGGACCCCTCCGCCGGACCCTCCGAAACTGCCAGAGTCGCGCCGGACCCAGTTGACCAATGAGAGAAGGGCAAATGGGCGGTCCATCGCGGTGACATCACTGGCAGGCAAATGGGAGGCTTCTCCGGCCCTGCTGCAAAGGTCCGCCATTTCTCCGGCGCGACTCTGCCAGATTTGGCGGACTCCGCGCCGGAGAAATTTGCGCGGCGCGTGTCCGCCAAATTTGGAAGAGCCGCGCCGGAAAAAATGGGAGGGGTCCGGAGCAGAAATGGGAGGCCTCCGGAGCAGAAAATGGGAGGTATCCGGAGCAGAAAATGGGAGGTATCCGGAGCAGAAAATGGGAGGTATCCGGAGCAGAAATGGGAGGGCTCCGGAGCAGAAAATGGGAGGTATCCGGAGCAGAAAATGGGAGGTGTCCGGAGCAGAAAATGGGAGGTCTCCGGAGCAGAAAATGGGGGGTATCCGGAGCAGAAATGGGAGGTATCCGGAGCAGAAAGTGGGAGGTATCCGGAGCAGAAAATGGGAGGTATCCGGAGCAGAAAATGGGAGGTATCCGGAGCAGAAAATGGGAGGTATCCGGAGCAGAAATGGGAGGGCTCCGGAGCAGAAAATGGGAGGTATCCGGAGCAGAAAATGGGAGGTATCCGGAGCAGAAAATAGGAGGTATCCGGAGCAGAAATGGGAGGTATCCGGAGCAGAAAGTGGGAGGTATCCGGAGCAGAAAATGGGAGGTATCCGGAGCAGAAAATGGGAGGTATCCGGAGCAGAAATGGGAGGTCTCCGCCGGAGAAATGGGAGGGCTCCGCCGGACAAATGGGAGACCCACCGCTGGGGAAACGCCGCGACCCTGCCATTTCTCCGGCGGAGGGGTCCTATCCGCTGCCTGAGGAGGGAAGAAAATGTGATAAAGGAAAGACAATGGTGAACCTCAAGCAATGCATTAGCGATAATATGAACTGCAAGCCAACGAAAAGCGTCTCTCTTCGTCTCTCTTCTTCCTGATACACGGATATTGTAGAGTGAACACCAACGGATCTTTTTCTTTACTGCTACTCGCCACATACAGTGCTGGCCAAAAGTTTGCAGCCACTCCAGAATTTTGCTATATCTTACTCTGTTTCGCATAGAACAATTCCAAATTATGACATTACGTGCATTTCACACTACTTAACACTATGTCGAGAAATTCTGCAGTTATATGCACACCGAAGGGGTCTTTGGGGAAAATGGTGAAAACGGCTGAATTGAGGTTGGTCAAAACTTGCAGCCACTTTCTTCTAAATGTCTTTAAAAAACTTGTCACAACTTGTCACTTTCCAGTATGTGGGCTACAGATGCACCAATAAACCTTGAGATATGCAGTGCAGTCGGCTTTCATCATACTCCCAAAAAGGGAACTTTACGGAGCAAAGTTGCTTGAGCGGAAATTGACCGCAAAAATTGATCAAATCATGAGGTTGTTGAGAAATCATCGGCTGATCTATGCTCCTATGAAGAGGTTGCACCATCTGGATGTTTGGTGGCGGTTTGCGAATGTGACAGAAAAGGCATTACTTGGCATGTCTCAAAAACTACCATCACCTTAACTCAGATTCGGAGCACCTTTCGGCTCAAAAATCGGGCTCAAATGTCTGAGAAGTTCTCAAACCTGACTAAAACATTGCTTTGAGAAAGGCGAGTATTGGTCCGCAGCTCGAAGAGTTCTATTGGAAATATGGAGGCGCTACTATTAGAGAAAAGTTTTTGCAATTATCACACCTAGGAAATGTTTGATTTGCCAAAGGGATTAATCAGCTGTGAAGATTGTGCAAATTTTTTTCTGGCAGTAGCGCCTCCATGTTTTCATTGGAGTTCTCCGAGCTTCGGACCAATGTTCGTCTTTGTGAGAGCAATGTTTTAGTCAGGTTTGAGAACTTCTCAGACCGCTGTGCCCAATTTTTGAGCCGAAAGGTGCTCCGAATCTGAGTTAAGGTGATGGTAGTTTTTGAGACATGCCAAGTAATGCCTTTTCTGTCACATTCGCAAACCGCCACCAAACATCCAGATGGTGCAACCTCTTCATAGGAGCATAGATCAGCCGATGATTTCTCAACAACCTCATGATTTGATCAATTTTTGCGGTCAATTTCCGCTCAAGCAACTTTGCTCCGTAAAGTTCCCTTTTTGGGAGTATGATGAAAGCCGACTGCACTGCATATCTCAAGGTTTATTGGTGCATCTGTAGCCCACATACTGGAAAGTGACAAGTTGTGACAAGTTTTTTAAAGACATTTAGAAGAAAGTGGCTGCAAGTTTTGACCAACCTCAATTCAGCCGTTTTCACCATTTTCCCCAAAGACCCCTTCGGTGTGCATGTAACTGCAGAATTTCTTGACATAGTGTTAAGTAGTGTGAAATGCACGTAATGTCATAATTTGGAATCGTTCTATGCGAGACAGAGTAAGATATAGCAAAATTCTCGAGTGGCTGCAAACTTTTGGCCAGCACTGTATAGTATCAACGAGTGAGGTCATCTTGCACAGCGAAAAAACATTTGATCGAAAATACAGTCATGTGGCTTCTGTTCAATAACGCAGGAAACCACTCAGCCTAGTAAGGATAGGTTTGAAGGTCCACAAAGGTCTTTGATCTGATTTTCGAGAGGAGAGTCTGAAAACAAAAAGTTAAGTCTATTATGCGTCTAGTTTTGAAAGAAATCAAACGCATTTTCCTAGCACATAGGCGGCAGTTTGGAATATTAACTATATTCCACTGCGCACGATGGAAATGCAGGCCAGTAGAAGTGTGTTGAACTCCTTTAATCTTCATTACATCTTTTTTCCCGAGGAAGACTAAACTTGAGAACAGTATGCAAGATGTGCTATGGCAGAACCGGGAAAGCATGATTTGATAATGACTTTCAAATCTCTTACACTTTGATAAGCACTAACCTTAATCCTGTTGACCTTATACGAAGTTGAGGAATGCTTACCTAAGTGGAAGAGGGAACACTAATTCGGGGTAAGAAAGTCCATTTTGAGAAGCCAAATCAAACATTTCATCAGTCGAAGGTTGCAATGCATGATGAACTTTACTGACGTTCATTTCATTATAGGATGCGTATGTTTTTACACCCTCTGCCTAGTATGTGTATATCCATGATTTCCAAAATTTCAAGAAAGTTGAAAGTGTATACCAAAAATAGCAAAGAGGATAGTTAGAAAACCAAAACTCTTTGAGGAACTGCACTTGAACAAAAAAAAATGCTGGATATGCCAACTTTACCGCTGTACTTCTCTTGTTCAAGTAAGAAACGAACCATAACAAAAGGTCTGCGATAAGGCATTCTATCAAGACTCTGGGAAAATCAAAGTTTACAATATCCACAAATTTTCCCAAACTCAAGGCTAACATTGATCTTACATATACAGAGCAAAAGTGAATATATTAGCAAAGTGTCTAGTATGAGCGCCCACGTGTTGTATATATTTGAAAAATGCCATCGTATGGCTTATACACAAAGGTTTTAGAACCTCAAAATTTCTCACTCACCACTATACACATCAGATATTTATATATACCGTTGCTGTGTTTTCTCCTCGGATAGAAATCAAGAAAACAAAAATTTTCATGTTTTTGCCAAAGTGATGCTGTGCTGTTCTCATATTGATAGTTGTATATTACAGACCAGTACAAGTGCAGACATGAAAATATTCGTTTTAGTATAGAACATCCCACTAAGCGAAGATAAATTCGATGTTCGCTTGTTCAATTCGCTCACATCTACAATTATTACAGAAAAACTTAGCTTTTCAGTGCGTAAGGAATTCCAAAAGCTCATAGTTTGGGACTCTCTGGTTAATGAATAGTTTTAGATTTTTATCTTTTCTTTTCGCGAAACTCCTTTATTGAAGTCTTTTCTATAGTATGAAAAGGTACACTACTGGCTTGCGCCTGCAAAACAAGCTGATTAGCAGCCATAGGAACAAAACTTGAAGGAAGTTGTAATCTCTCAAAGACGAGGTTTTCGAAAGAAGAACTTTCGGTTTTTTTTATGCACAATCTTCTTCCCGTTTGCGGTATCAGTACTACCAGGTGCGCGCTAGGTTACTGAAGATTTATCGCTTCTGAGGATCTTAATTGTATAAAAAAATGTGAAGACTGAACAAAGTTATAGTTAAGCTTTTCAAAGTGAACTTTGCAAAACGCACATTACTTTTACAACAATCTAATACCTCCATTGGAAGTCGATTAGTCGGAACATCAAATAGTTGAAGTTGGACGATACACTGTGACTAATTTGACATTATCTACTTTTACGAGCAGAAAAGTTTCACGCTCACTAAAGCAGAACGAACAGCGAAACAGATATACTTAAATCTTATTTGATTTAGAAGCAGCCTCTGAAGGCAGCAAAGTTGCAATGTTGGAATTTTTGCATATTGCAAACCTTCCCAGCGCCGTTCAACCTCGCGCATGGGCGAGCTGTGCATTTTTATTTGTAGTAGCTTGCAAGATTAGAGAAGTTGTCGAAAAGGTGCTAGGAAGCACACGTTCAGACACAAAAGGAGAAACCTACGCGTCAGAAAGCGCGTACGAAATTGGCCTGTGTAGGCCACTTCGAGTGCAGAGTTGTTGAGCAGTGGCCCACTCAACTTTAGGTTATGAGACCCGTGCTACCTCAATTTCGCTAAGACATTGCCTTTAATAAGGAAGCTTACACCACCACCTTTTAGTTCCAGTCTATTAACGCGAAATATAAATACGAGGTACCATTTGATTCAACTGGCTTGGTTTCGGGTAGGCGGGGCTTCGTGGTCTAATCTAGGTAATGAAGTGAGCACTCGCGCGAGAGAGACACAGTGCGTCGCGGATGCGAGCGGCCTCAGTTAGGTTACAAAGCCCCACCTTCTTGAAGCCAAGCCAGTTGAATCAAAGGTTGCCAGTTAGTTCAGGAGCACGTATCTTTGGCTTAAGCAAGACGAGATAGCCCGCCTATGCTCTCGATGACATGAATCAGAAGAAAGAAACGGAGAGGCAGATGAGGAGAACCAACTGAGCGTCAAAACTTGAAGCTAAAGCCTTTAAGACAAATACATAAAACTGGCATTGAACACGAAGTATCCAACACCATCTTTAGACATTTTGCATCAAAAGATTCTAGTACATCTCAACTCACAGATTTTTCGAGTAGTCCGATACATAGTGCTATATGGCAATCAATGCTGGAAAGATAATGGCGGCAAACCCTTCCAATGATTGCTTTGCGATAGGCATCATCATTCGTGACCAAGTCAACAGCGATACCGAGGAAGACTCAATATCTTCCGAATTGTTAAGAAGATGCAGGAGAGATGGTACGACTATGCGAAAAGAAGAGGAAAAAGCCAGGTTGCTAGATTGGGTACGTCAACAGATATGCCAGAACAGATCAAGATGAAAACCAAAGTTGGGATAACAGAATAAGCTTCAATTGGATTTGAGAGAGCTTAAGGCGAACGTATAATAGCGCTCAGTTTGCAAACTGTGAATGAGACTCGCAAGAGTAGTAGACCACGAGAAGTTATGGTTAAAAAAATTGGCCCTCCAATGAATTGCCGTCGAATTGCTTGTAATGTTATACGCACCTGTCGCTGATTTAATTAAACGAATTGTGGCCAATTTTAACCGTTTCAGCGACATGTGCCATAAAACTTGAATTTACTTTGTTCTCATCTAGATTCTTTTCAGAATATTGTAGGCGGTGCGAAAGTGGATGGACTTACTTCGGAGACACGGGTGCGTGTTATAAGGTACTTGACATCTTTACGTACTCTCAAAAACTTGGTGCTCAAGTAAATAGACCAGTAAGTGTGCATGTTTGGATTAGTAAATTTTGTGCGTGAGTTGATAAGTAACATTGAACAACGTTCCCGCCGATGGGTGTTTCGGGATTTTCATAGCAACTCGCTAAGTCATTTCATGGCTTTGTCTTTTGAACTTTTGCAATTGGATTTTCATAAGTGCTTGAACCATTACAGTAGTTTCATATAGACACTGATCATCTGTATAATTAAAGCTGAATGTATATATGTAAGAACGGGGGGGGGTAAGTGAGCATGGAGCGGAGCCATTGGCAGCTGGTGTCTGATGAGCGGAGAGGGAGATGAGGTAATTTTAAGGGACACCGGGTCATGACTCATGATCTGCGCAAATGCGGGTCGCAACACGACTTCAACCAATACAAAAGCCACTTTTGACGCAATGTTACTCTTGCCACTTAGTCATGAAACTGCTCTTACTTACCTTCCCTTTCTAGTTGCCGCCGCTCGCTAGTACCGGAGAGTTCTTGCAGAGCACAGACTTTGAGCGCGGCAAAGCGGCCGTCCTATGCAGCGTGGCTTTTGAAGTGCAGAAGATTCCAAAGTGTTGCCCGAATCATTGCTCGAATCATGTGTTTGCTGTTGCAAGCGACTACAACGAAAATTGGTCGCTGGAAATACTTTTGACGGGGAAGAAGGAAGCAATAGGAGAAGAGGAATGGATGGCGTCTAAGAACTATGAGAACATAGCCCTTCTCCTTCCAGAATCTGAGATTCGCATTTCGTTTCTACCCTGCCCTAACTTATCGGATAGTTTATCTTCAACGAATTTCCTGCTTTTGTCAAGTGAGGAAGAGAGTGCAGCTTTAGATTGAGAAAGGAGCATACGATCTAACTGCGAAAGGTTATACACGTAAACAGTCGTTAACAGTGCTTAGTAAAATAATAATCCTTGAATTTGATAGTATCAGTAAATGATTACACAGACTTTCTACTGGGCAAACATGTACGATGCAGAGACCTTATGTAGGAGTTTTGGCGCACATTTGGCTTCAATCCACAGCAATGAGGAGAATCAATTCGTAGCCGGTATACTTATCACTGTTATTCGTTTCCGCACGATTTTTTGCTTTAGACCTATCGAAATCGGGTAAACCATGGACTGATTGGCATGATTTGACTTGGATAGGCCTGAAACAACTTGATTCAAACAGTGATTGGTACTGGATTGACGGCACAAGGGTCAACTACATGAGTTGGGCACCAGGTGAACCTAATGACTGGAAAGGAATACAACATTGCGTGACGGTACGGTTTTTGAATGCACAAGGACTTTCGACTATATTCGCAAGCGAGATGTGAAACAAGCGAAAGTAATAGCCGAAGGCGTTGTACAACATTCAAATTCCGTCAGTATTTCACGTTTGAATGTTAATTGAAGTACACGCACCACAACTTTGTTTGTCTGTTCAACATTTGCCCCACCAAAGTGCTCAACAAGTTCATCGGAAAGTTATGGAATAGCCTGATCTTTCCAAATTCAAAGCATTTTGTTGTGTTCAAAGGCAACCAAGAGCAACTTAACGGTCACTAGTATAATAAGTGCCTTGCGTACCATTCTGAAAACGCATTGGTGTTCCTTCTGCACAATTTGACAACGCTCAAAAGAATTCGGACACCCGGTTCTCAAACATCTCTCAAAGTCAAACTGCTAGACTATTTTATAGGTAAGAGTTCTACAGGTTCTATCATGTAGGCACAATAGCCAAGATCTCCCAGTCATATAATTTTGGAGCGAAGAAATGCGACTTTCGCATGGCTCGACGTGCTACCTTGAGCTACACCGATAGTGCAAAAAGAGTTTGAAGGCAGACTAGCTAAGATTCTAAAAAATGGATAGAATAGAGTCAAGTTCAGAGGCTGAGGAACTGCAGAATTCCATACACAAATACGTATGTACATGCATATTAACTTGAACAGAACAAAACATAAACATCGAAAGATGCACGGCTCCACTAGAGCAAATTTTATATTTTTGACTGTAGCTATATCTATGTAAAGGACTGAAGGCCAAAAGTACTTTGGTGACAGAGACTTTATATTTCTCTTTTTTTGGGGAAAAACAAGACGAAGGCGTGGATCCTGCTTATTCCAAATGTGGGTCGATTTATTGACCTAATGAGTTACTTCATTCTTTGAAATGGACCTATAAATTTGGCATGTTGCATCGATGGTTTCCAGACGTGGAGGACGTAGACGTTAAGTGTCCGTTAGCGATAGATTTCGCACAAATTGGTGCAGAATAGACGATGAATAAATGAGCGGCGCCGACAATTCCATCACAATGAGACATTCGTTAGCACATATGATAAAAGCTTCATTCAGCTGTTGTACAGGGCTCCTAAATTGCAGAGTCGTTTGCACCAGCGGTTGCGCGACCGCGTCGCGCCCAGGCATTTTGCCGGCGCTGACGCCATCGATCGAGGCGGCGCCACTGATGCCCGGGCGCGACGCGGTCGCGCGACCGCTGGTGCAAACGACTCTGCAATTTAGGAGCCCTGTACATACTTCTTTTCAGTTTCTGCTAAGCGATCAGTAGCGTTTGTTGCGCCTTCATTGTAGAAGCGCTGAGGGTTTGCGTTATTGCGGTATGCTCTAAAATCAAGAATGCAGCACGCTAACATTTATGGCGAGTCTTGTTCATTTTCATTTAAAAGGCACCCGTCCTTCCTAAGTTGAGGGTCTTGAGCTTTTGGCAGCTTATGAGAGAAGACCTCCTATGAGCCAATGCCCAAGTCGCGGCGCAAAATGTCGCTTTGGAATAGCGAAGATGCGTGAGAACCTCAAGTCGGGACCGCCCCAATAACCCGCCCATCCGTGCGCGCCATCCAAGCATCGTTCCAAAAAGCCGGCCTGCGGGTTTCTGGAACGAGGATTGTCCGGGTTTTCGCGAATTCTTGACTTCATATTCGAAATCAGGGACATGAAAAGAACCCGGAACGACCAAAATATGGAAGTCGAGAATCTGGGTGGACGGTGCATTTAACTAGTGTTGCCGTAACGCTTTTTAGTAGTCCCATTGAAAGTGGCATCTTTGCTCAGAATCCTATATATACGGTTCAATCGTGTGCGCGTACTATCCCTGTATATGTGCCGTTGGCAATCCCAATAATCCCTTTAGGGGAGATGAAGGGCGTGTATAAGTTTTTGCGGACTCTGGAAACTATTTTTCGAGTGCTCATCAAGTTTTTGCGGCCCGTTCGCTCCGAAAATTTGAAACAAGGGGCGTGGCTGCAGCCGCGTACCCGAAAAAGATTTTTTAACAGGCTAATTCAAGTTTTGAAAAATCAGGAAATATTCTAATCATCTATAAGTGTCAACAAGTTAGTTGCACAGTAAAAATCATGTAAGTATAGGGCGTTTAGATCGTGACGATGGCGCGACCCCGCGCGACACGCACGCAGCTTCCGCCAACCGCATTTTCTTGGTTTTGATCACTACTCGACTGCCTTTTCTGCTTAGGTATGAAAGTACTTGGACACTGGAAGTGACTGAGCTGAGCATGGAGTTGATGCTTATTTGTATGAGGGTGTTATGCTCCTGAGGGCGCGAAGATCCTGCAGTCAGATCCGCCGTCACGATTTTATAAATGGAACCTTAACTTCTAAAAGTTTTGCCACCCATTATTCCCAAACCTCTCCACCCTCTCTCTCCCCTCATAACCCCCCCCCCCTTCCTGGTATGTGTACGGCTGAATACTTCCGAATCAGGGGTAGAGGACTATATGTTACCGAAGTGGGAGGTTCCGCCGGACATCTGCAACAAATACGGATTCCAGTAAATTCACAGGCTGAGTATCTGCTGCACTGTCCGCAGGGACATTCTCACTTTCGGTGGCATAGTATAGCGCTCTGCCCCGGAACGTCACGCGTGTGATGCGACTGACGCAACGGGGGTCGCGAAGGGAGCACCCACGGTGGGGGGAGGTGTGAGGGTTGTAAGAGGGTGGGGGGGGGGGGGAACTTATATAAAAACCTTGAGCCTAGAAGATAATCGAATAGCAAGTAATCGAGCAAGCCTACAGATACAGTTACAGCGGTTACAGACTTGTGATGGCTTCAACAAGCCAACAGTTTACGTCAATAAAAAAACACGTTTAGCAGACCAAAAACGTTAATGAAGGCATGCGTTTGTGATAAGGATGTTAAGTGTACCGATTTGCTCAGAAGTCCTGCTTTCGAAGCCCCACGGAAGTCTCACCCGCTCTACAAAGCGTTTCTCCATCAAAGATGATCATCAATAATTTGTAGACCTATTTGTAATGTTTTTTATACGGTCCACACAATTAAGCTGCGTTTAAAGATGCGTCTGTGGAAAATATGGTGACATTATATAGCCTGTGGACTTTATTACAACTTTATAGATGCAACAAAACTGAAAAGAAAAGGTTCGTATCTGAGCCGCATCTAGATTTGAGTTTTGAAAGCTTCTTTGCTGCAACTTTGCTATGTCATGGCGCCATCCTCCTATTTTACATCCTAAGAACTTCAAACTGTGTTGTTGCGTCTTCATTGAGCTACAAAGTTTTAGCTTAAAAACTTCAATTTTTGGTTCTGGAATCGCATCTAAATTTGCTAGAGTCGCGTCGAAATTATTTTGAGCTCACTACTTCCAAATGCCTGCAACTTTCTCTTAAACTTTCCAGGCAACCCACTATAGAACCTGTTCATTGCAGCCTTTCAACCTTTTCCTGACTTTAATTACGATTTTTCAAAGTGTCATGCTTATGCAGGTTTCTGGCATTATTCTGGAACGGTTGTCGCTAAAATGGCTTGTTCGCATTAATATGTGTGTAAAAAGCAGGAAATAAGTTTTTGAGTCGCAAACATTCTTTACGCATCAGAAAATTCGTATTCTAAATGCATAAAGATTCGTAGAACAAGAACGATCGCAAGACTATCATTATAGTCTAAGGCATTCTTGTTTTCATCCACAATGAATGTCTTTCAGTATACCCACTATGCAGGAGTTTTCTTACCTTGTTATAACAGGTCGTAAAGAAAGTTCCGGAGCAGCAATTTTTTTTCAAAATGCTGTAACTTCAAACAGAATGATCCTTTTCAGAGCTAGAAACTTCTTTGCAAAGACATTTTTAACCTCATTGCGGTTCATTAGTATGCGCAAAAGGGAAAAAGGTAGTTGCGAAAAATGGACTGTTTGTGCAGGACTATTTCAGGCACGATGAGAGCTGGAGAGCCCAAATGTTGTAATTATATAGAGGTCTGTTGAGGCGGTTATAGGCACCATTCGTGTTGTTTGACCAGAAAATTAGAAAAATCGTGCAATTTTGCAAAAAATTGGGGCATTGTTGCCCCCAAAGATACAGCATTTCCCGACTAAGTGAATTTGAAGTCCTCTATTTCTGCACCGGGCGAACCAAATTTTTGATTACTGCGAACATTGTTGTGGTAATGTTTTGGTAATGCCCTGCACAGCTTTTGACCCATCACATAGACTAGACAATTTCCGCAGAAGCGAAGTCAGAAACGAAAAGAGCTGCAATCAGAGGCAAATTTGTCGGCTTGTAATTTCTGAGCGCAAATCGCAAAACGCGAATGCAGCTGTGGGTTAGAAGTTAGAAGGTCCTCATTCAGATTACCTATGATTTGGAGGTTGTTTGTTCCAGTCTCAAAGTTTTGTTTCAGCTAGTCTGCGACCCTCATGAAAACGTCTCGCTTTCTCACATCTTTCGGAAATGGGACGACTATGAGTGCAGCGGTAATGTAAGAGCGTTCGTATGCAAGAGACCTCTGTACTGAATGCCAAACAGTGCCCTAATAGTTTGTGATGAGCAGTGTCCACACTTTCTGCTTACTGTCAATAAATATCGATTGAACACTTGTGTTTTCAACAATCACAGCATAGACAGGTGGAAAGTTTTGAGGCTAGTCCTTTAGAATTTACTGTTTGCAGAGAAAATTTCGTAATTTCCAGAAGCTGGTAAGCTGACAAAAGTCAAAATTAACTTGCTTTATATTAGCTCCATTCTTGAACTATTATAATGTGGAAGTATTTTTACTAGAGCATACGAATATAACATACACACCACTTAGAACCGCATCATAGTCCAATGATAATCCATGAAAAAGTACCCATTTCTTATCGACTGTTAGAATTACGGAAATGTGGCAGCGTAAAGCTCGCAATTTCTGAAAGTGAAGAGTATTCCAAAAACAAACTTTCAAGGTGTAACTAATTTTGATAAAGTTATCAAGTGCAGTGTTCCGCCTTCAATTAGACCCCACTATCAAGCAACGTGCTCGAACAATGGATGCCCATGCTCACGTGGGGAGGGGGGGGGGGCAGAGATTAGTGCTCTTGAGTACGGCTAGGAAGGTCACAGGTTTGGTTCTGCGGCGTGCTTGACGCGTTTTGGACAGTGCTGCGCATGGTGCATCACCGATTTTGCAAATGTTTCTTGCTTTCATTTTATTCGGTCTTCCTCCGATATAAGAATGCCATTGTAGAGGCACAAGTCCACTGTCCAACATACCGTGCTGGTCTTGCGCCGGCTTACATCGTTTGCGCCAAGCAGCAATAAACACCAACAATCGCAAATTGGCATGCCACGTGCGATAAAAACTGATTGATTGACAAAATCCCACTAAGGATTTGCTTGTTGCAAGGCGTAGGACAATACAAGAGCTGATGAAGAAAGGAAACTTCCCCATTTTGAAAAACTTAAACCTTCCTTGTGTGGTTATAGTAGGAAGGTACAGGCCCCGTAAAATCCAATTGTCCATGCGTCGCTTCGAACACCAACGTGCGGCGCGGCTGGAAGCGTTTGGTGAAGCGCTACAGGTCTTTTGCGAGCGACAATGAGCGCGCACCCTTTCTAAACATATTTTTTTTTAATTCTACAGGGAACCGTCAACATATACCTTGCATTGACGGGAACAACATGAAAGTTAAAGAAAGATTTCTTGGAATATAGTGAAGGCCGACAGTCGTTCGCGACGACCGCTCGCTTGCGCTGTTGTTCAAGGCACGGCGCGGGCAATTAGGTTTTACGGCGCCTATATGTGCACGGGTAATACAATCACCGATTTGGTTGTTTGTTGGTCTGGAGTGTTATTCAACACGTTGATCACGATTATTGCGTTGATTTTGCAAAGAAGTGCAACATTCCGACATTACAGTGTATATGACTGACCGGATTGAATGAAAACCTCAAATCTGGTCAAAGCTATAGTACATAACTTACTTAAAGCGCACAAAAGACTTCCAGGCACAGCCAAGACCATGATAGTGATCAGGTTGCTGAAGAAGCCCTACACGGAATTTTGAGCAATCTGAAATTTTGTCTAGCCCAATGATCACCTTAAACGCACAGAAAAGCGTTTTCGTGCGGTGTGATATTAAAGATCATAATGTCAAATAACTCCCTTGGACCAATGAGAAAATTCACTTTGGAATTCTAGGCTACGGATTTCGGAGTAACCATGTAGCCATATAGCTCTCGCTTTTGTTCCAAATCAAATATAGGACCATACGTCAAATGTTGAGCACTATGGAGGTAGGCAGAGCGCGAAACACTTGGTACTAGCTAGTCACGAACTTAGCTCGAAGTTATACAACGAAGAAGGTCGGTCCCCAATGTCGCTTGTGTTGCAAATGGTGTAGCACGCCATTTTGTCGCCCGCGATTTCGCGGTCCGGAACGGTTCGTGTTTATTTCTCTGACAAAGCTTTTGCCCCACGATTCCAGGTGTGGGTTGCTAATCCACAGGAAGAAAAGCGATAAGCCGATTGAAGAAGAATCTATGTCGCCTTGACATGCTCTTTCATGTCTCATTAAGATATTCAAGTAAATCCAGTAAAAACGAGGGTGTACCCCTGAGGCGATACTTGGAGCTTGACAAATGCCAACATTAAGCGAATGTTACGTTTCCAAACAAGATGAGGGTGACGACTAAAGAGGACAGCTCATCATAAGCGCAAACATGCTTGAAGTTCTACAAGGGGAGGAGACCAGTTCGCAGTGGAAAGCCGAAATGGTATGCATACCATTATATACATCTCGATGAGCTGATTCTAAATCTAACTTCAATACCGCTAAGCTCTTCTCTGGAAGAAGTTATGAGCGCTTAAATGTCCAATTCGTCAAACATCCGGCGCCACATTTTCAAGAACTACTTGTTCAAAAACACTTATTCATGTGTTCGGTGTATTTATGCACTCCTTGTAGTCAAATCACTCAAGACCATGCCAATTAATCACTCCTAAGCTGGTATAAAAGCACATTACGCATTACAATCTCAACAACTTCGCACCTCTAACTGCCCATAGCTTCTTCGGAGCGTTGAACAGGTAAGAAAGATAGATTTGGAATCAGCTCATCAAGACTTTTCTAATGATATGCATATCATTTCGGTCCGCTGCTGCGACCTTATTTCCTCCCCTTGTCAGAAGCGCTTCGGCTAGCTACCAGCAACATAAGTTCTCAAAAGTCCCCATGACATGCAAAAAGGGCTCTACGCTTTTGGGCAAGTGATCTTTCTTGTAGCATTATCTTTTACCTCATAAGGAGAACATTAGCCATACTTTTGAAGATTGCACGACATAGCTGACATATATGATTCTACGTAGTTTAATACGATTATCATGGTGCAAGGCGTAGCTAAGTTTTTGTTTATGGATGTTTTTGCTATGCTAACAAGTATACGCCCTCCAAACGGAATTCTACCATTAATGATAAAGTGGCATTCACAGGGAGCGCTAAAGTCGTCGTATCTGTAGAATACGGAATTCACGCCTAATTTAACTCCTAAGAAAATCAGAATTTCTCATTTCCGGCCATATTTTCGATTTGCGCGTCGTCGTTGCTCTAAAGTTTCATTGTTTGTTCCTAGAGGTATGCTTTGTTGATTTTGTTTTGCCTTTTGCCCACTGCAAGGTTTTGATACGTTTTGAGCAAGAAATCACTTGTCTCAATCCAGCTTCCCCCCTCACTTGACTATGACCCCACACTGTCGACTATATGTGTGGAAAAAGTTGCAAAAAGAGGACTGTCCTCCAAGTTCTTACTTCTTTGTAAAAGTGATCTTTGCTCATAGTTGCCTTTTACACCCAGAGAGGGCTGACCACGTTCCTTTTGATTTTCAAAGTCCTACTTTCAAACGGACATCATCAGTGACAAGATGGCATTCGCCGGAAGCGCTTAAGACGTTTTTGGCTTCCGTTTTTTGTTAATCTGCGGAATAAACGAACATAGGCAAACATGAATAAACATGGACAACCAAATACGTAACACGAATGCAGGCAGACGCTCTGCTTCCTATATGAGGCTCTCTCTTTAGCCGCAGCAGTATCTGAAAAATCCCGAGACAGTATGCCCAAACATCGGAAAATGCATAAGCCCTCCACGTTTTCATCAAAAATTTCCGTGAAAAGCTTGTTTGCGACCTTTCAAAAATTGGAAAATAGTGACTGGCATCAAGTTTGCTAGTCCTACATCTCAGTGGAATATACAGGGTGTTCCAAAAGTAGGTACACAATAGCATCATAGTAAAGTGGAAATTTCGTTTCCGAAATCAGCGGCTTCCATTATCGCAGTACAAGAAATTTTCGGCTTGTTTGGTTTTGTTCCAAGGCAGAACATAACTTCCAATGTTCTAAAATGCCTGTCGAGTTGAAAAGTGTGTACTTACTTTTGAGACACCCTCTATTATCAAAATTTATCCAACAAAATTCCTATCAGTTGAAAAATATGTAAGGTGTTATTGATGTATATGTGTTGTCAGCGGTAACCATCCCTGCTTATATAAACCCACACTATATTCAGCAAAAGGACTGGGTTCGCATGTAACCCACTGAGGAATTTGCACCATGCTTGGGTTCGCCAACCCAGCGTTCAGTGGGTACCGGAACTCAAGAAAACTTGCTTCGTGAATACTGGTAGTTTGACTTTTGGGTTCGCGAACCCACTGGGTTCGTTGGTGAATACCGGTTAAGTGGCTTTTGTGGTTCCGGATCCCACTGGGTAGGCTTAACCCACTGTTGGGTGTTTCCCTTACAATCGAGTAACTTTTCAAATAGTTTCAATAAGAGTCAATCAACTTCTTAGATTTTTGTTGAACTTTTTGTTTTTGGTTCTGAGAATCCTTATCTAGCTAGTACGCGTGAGCGGGAAGATTTTTTGCTGTTCAAGCCAAATCCATGTACACAAGGAGACAATGTTTTGATAAGAGGACACTGCAAACCATTCCCTGAAAGGTGATAAGAAATACAAAAATTGGACATTTTCAGAGCCTTATGTTGCAAACTTTTTTAAACTTGAAGTTGTAGAATGTTCTATCGTCATCTAACGTAAGTTGGTATCGAAATCGCCTCAATCACAGGCAATTCTGAAAAAAACTTATTTATGTTCTTAGGGTTTGCTTTGAAAAGAGTCATTAGCAGTAAGTCCTGTACTAACGAAGAATTCTGGCTCATCGACTTTGACAGAGCTTTATGTCTCTGTGGGCTTAGGCAAGATTAGCAAGATAGAGAAGCTCATTCCTTTGTTCATAGTGATCTGATTATGCAATGCAACCTTTCAAGCCTCTTACTCGCTTATTCTTTTGCAGGTTCTCGCTACAATCACGAATTTTCATCTCAATAAAGTGCATTGATACTTCTGTGATATACTAGGTTGGCTAATAAATTACTTCGATCGCTTTCGAGGCTCCTGCGGATGCTGCAGACAAATTTCTGTCAAATGTTTGGTGTTTTGGACAGAGCATTTCACTGAGAATTTGAATGTAAATGACGTTTAAAAAGAATCTATTTCTTTACAAAAAAAGCCCCAAAAAAGTAAGAAACTTCAATTTTTTTCACGGTTCGCAAATATGGGAAAAC